TTGATTTTACATTATTTTAAAACTAACAAATCAATATTTAAGTTCATTTTATGTAATCACTGAATGATTCATTAAAAATGATTCAATAAAAAGCTATACTTAGATACAAATCATGCAACAAAGCCAACATATTTCATTACAAATTTAAAAAAACCAATGGTACTCACATTTAGCTCTCCGAACTTTCAACTTCTCTTCTGTTGCAGTTCACAATTACTAAATGTTCTAGGTTTTCCATAATTAGTCGCGTCCTATTGTCTTGTAAGATGTCCTTATAGTGGGAAAAACTTCTTTCCACCTCACAGGAACTTAGGGGCGCATGTACAAAAGTCGCTATTTGCTCCACTGTTAGTGATCTTTTACTTGGCAGTTCAGTACGTTTACCGGCTAAAGTTTCTTCAATTTCACAAATTTCTTAATATCCTGGTCTTTTTGAAAGAATGCTATGTACTTTTTCCTTTACTACTTCACCGACTTTTCCAGGAACCGAATTCAATTTGGAAACAGTGGTTTTGAACAAACTAAACGACTGATACACCATAGTATCATGGAATTGATCAAAAATCCGGAAACTGCGGAGCTATTTGTGGTTTTAAATTGCTATACCGCAAGAAGATATGGGGTAGATTGTTCATTCTTATCAAGGGATCCAACTATACAATTTTCAGTAAACCGTCCCTCACAATCTTGTGTTTCGTCGATTGATACCCACACAAAATTATCTTGAATCTTTCCTCTAATGCTTTCAATTTTAAGATCGTAACATTGCTTCACGTAATTTTTGCGCACAGTAGACTCATCCGGCACTTTGCACTGTGTATACTTCTCTGTGAAGTTTCTCAGAGTAGGACTGGTTTATTTCCACAGCGGAATATCTGCCGCTAAAAAGGCTTCGCATAAATCAAAGGAAAACTGTGAAAAACTATTATTAGAAAATTCACTAAACAATTTTTAAACAGGTGCACATTTCGTGGATTTAATTTTAATATTGCCTTTGTGTTTATTAGTGTTCAAATGCTGAAGCACTTGAAAGCGTTTTTCACAACCAACTGTTTTCTCACACGCTCAGCAATAAAGAATTTCGTTATCCGTACTTATCATCTCTCCTTCGAACTCCCGCTGATACATCTATAATTTAGTTTTCTGACTTACTTTCACTGTCGCCATGACTGCAGAAAGCTAAACAAACTTAACTACAGGTTAGTCAGGACTAATGTGAATGGCCCCTAGCTTCAAATTAAACGTAACGAACCTCATGGAGACTTCGGAAATAAATAAGTCCCTTATCGGTTGAATCGTATTACATTGATAGCGGCTACATGTGGACGCTTCCGACTAATCTCTTCGCGGCCACTTTGATGGTACGCGGATGAGGCAAGTTACGAGTACANCATATGTATGATAAATATTTTAAAAGGGAAATATGCAGTATAAATTGAGATCTTCGAAAATATGATGCTTATTCATAAAACATGCAAGATATGCATTTATGTGCACCATAAAATTATGTCAAAAATTTAAGAAATGAAGTAATTCATACATATATCCAAACGAGCATACTTTCTGGTTGCAAGAAAGAAATATGCATTTGCATTAAAATCCGGTCCCTAGTAATAAGAGCTACTGAAGTCGCTTAATAAATCACAAAAAATGCCGCTGGATGGTTGTGGAGAGAAAAGAAGCACATCCGTAAGTGGACTAACGGAGGAAAGAATTGGTTAATGGATTTGTGGTCGAATGAAGAAATAAAAATTAACATAAAGAAACGTTTCCTGTCACTTAAACTACTTGTCCTCGCAGTGCTGCCTGCAACGTCAATGAACTTCATTCATAATGTGTACGTCATCAGATACGAATAATCTGCGTGCTGCCACATGATTTGTGGCCAATGGGTGTGAAATGACGTAGTAACGCGTCACACTCACTCTTATTTCATTCCTGTAAACGCAACAACGCTGAAGAGGCGTGCTGCAAAGTCCCTCATTACCATGGCAACGAGGCTCGAGTCTGCACGGTCAGCTATACGTAGTTCGATGTGTGTGATAACATTTAAGCCTATTTAACATTCAAGCCGTTGACTTGAATATTTAAGTCTGTATAAACCAGACGTTTGCGAAATGCTCAGACATATCCCCATAGATACTATGTAGAAATATAGTAATATGAAAAGAAATAGCAAAAATAAGTGATATATTTTGATAAAAATCAAGTACAGGGTCCCTAGTACATGTACTTAACGACTGTTAAGTTGTGGGGGCCACTAATGTTTCTGTTTAATTAGAGGTTGGACGACCGTGATCCGATTTCAAGAAGAGGCATGAATTTTCTTCCTGACCACCATGTGCAGGCCGTTTTGCGGATGAAACGTGTAAGACTGTGTTCCTTCCAGACACAAATTTAACAAGAAAACATACAACATTTATGAAATGATATCTTCAGTCCATAGCCTGTACAGCTCAGTCAGTATAACGATTAGACTACGGGTTGAACGNATCTTCAGTCCAACAGCAAGTGTATTGCCTGTACAGCTCAGTCAGTATAACGATTAGACTACGGGTTGAACGACCGGGGCTCGATTCCCGATAGGGGCAAGAGATATATTTCTTCTCCATAGCGTTCGAACTGGGTTTGAAGCCCACCCAGCCTCCCATACAATGGTAACCGGGGGCTCCATCCCCGCTGGAAAGCGGCCGGGGCGTGAAGCTGACCACTCACCTCTATCCAGTGCCCAAGTCAAGAATGGTGGAGCTATACCACCACTCCCCAAATGCCTTCATGGTGTAGTGCTTAGTCACATAATTAATTACAGGGAAGACTTTACGGAGTTTATGGAGTCGGCATTGGCAATAGCCTGTAGTTATACAACGTGTTGTATGTATTGTGGAACGCCACTGTCATTAATATTCAATGACTTTTGCGTAATGGTAGGTCATGTGGTGGTCCAGGTACAGTTGACACTATGCAGAAGTGTTGGTGGCAGTGAGTTACGTCGCTTTTCCTCGAACGTCTACATTCTGTAAATGATGACTTAATCATGTCATACACGTAAATATTCATTAAGTTTGGTAAGCCTAATTATGGACCTTCTACTTTCTGCTGATAAATCTGAAAAATGGTACCCTACGTTGTATCTAGACCTGAAAGTAATTTAGCTTTAAAACTGACAAATTTATCAGTGTGAATCTAAGAATACGCCAAAGAGGTGAAGAAATTTAACAGCCAACTGAGTTATATATTTCGTATAAATTTTCCTTTTCATTTGACGAATTTGCTACACTGAATTACTTCATAAGTTAAAATGTTTCATAGCTATTGAAATTTCGTTGTTCACATTGAAATACATTTGCTTGTGATATACACTCGACTAGGCAAACTGCGTGGAAACATGCAAACTAATTAGGCACATAAAAACAACGATGATAACACGACACCGATATTCACAAGGCTAAAATATAGAACCATAGACGCCTGTGGTTCGGTATGGGTGTGAAACTTGGTCTCTGACACTAAGGGAGGAACGTAGACTGAGGGTGTTTGAGAACAGGGTGTTGAGGAGAGTATTTGGACCGAAGAGAGAAGTGACAGGAGGTTGGAGAAAACTGCACAATGAGGAGCTTCATAACTTGTACTCTTCTCCAAGTGTAATTAGAATGATCAAGTCAAGAAGGATGAGATGGACAGGACAGGTAGCACGAGTGGGGAGAAGAGGAATGCATATAGGAAATTGGTGGTAAAGCCAGAAAGAAAGAGACCACTGGGAAGACGAAGACATAGGTGGGTTGATCTTAGAGGAAGAGAGAATGGTATGGATTGGACTGATCTGGATCAGGATATGGACCAGTGGAGGGCTCGTATGAACACGGCAATGAACCTTCGGCTTCTATAATATGCTGGAAGTTTTTGAATAACTGCACAATTGGCGGCTTTTCAAGAAGGGCCCAGCTCCGCAGCTCCAAAGAGAATAGCACAAAAGACACGGACGCGCGTAGCGCAAGAACAGATTGAGAGTGAGATTCTCAAATAAACGAGTTTTAATGTGAATGACCAAAGTACAATAACATTGGAATATTTTCACTCACGAACTAATGCAGTGCATCAATTTCAACGACTGAATATTTATTTGCCTTGGGATTGCCAAGTAAGGCCGAAACATATAGAAGTTTAATTGTAACTTTAATATTATTTCAAACTAACGAGAAGTTGTAAACAAAGTTGCATTAAAGACGAAAGTGTGTAAAGTGAAATAAAAACTAAACATACATTTTGGATTTAAGATATAAATTTTCAACCATACTTTCTGTAAAACAATACTCTACATTCTTTCCGTTGTCTTCCTTGCTCTGTGTCCATTGATTGATATGAGAACATAGGTACATGGTGCAAAGTGTATAGCGGTCTATACATCGCAGTTTCTTCACTAGGCAACAACATGCGATTTAATGCATGAAGCGATCAATTTCTTGTTTACTACATTTTTTCACCAGGCTATTTCACGGCAGTAAATAATATTTGACTGATGGCACATCCTTTTGTTTTCAGAGTCTGAATTTAATGTTAAACAAAAACAATTCACTGCTATGCGCTAATTTTCATTTGTCATTTAAAGGATGAAAGCACTTCGTAATTATTTGCATTACGAGCAAGTTCGCCAATGTTACAGGATGTTAGAGGAGTTAAGTGTACTCATACAGTTCACAGAAAGGAATCTTCAGAAAATCCTATATAAGGAGCATACCTTTCTGTAAGTTTCCCAACTTATAAGTGTGTAGTGTAGAAGGCTAGCTGCACTCGTTTTTGATCAAGTTTTGCACGACAAGTTTCGTTGTGGAGGGGGTGTTTGATTACAGGCTATTGAGGCGAGATTGGCAGCTGAAATAAACTTCTCCAACTGGTGCGGGGCCTGTCTATTCTACTCCTCCAGTCAGTTGTTTCCCACTTCTATGTTCAGCCCACAGCACCTGTTTCTGACGCCAGTCTTTTCTGTCTATTGTCTATTACAGATGCTCAAGTCATGTCGCAAGCTGAGCATGACGGTCAAGAGTCCGAACCTTCATCTACAGCCACCTCCCGATCGGCCCTCTTCTCACCAGGGAGGACCATGGATCCTACGTCAGACTTACTCTTGGATGGACCGCCAGGGACGTCCTGTTTCGCCTCCCCTCGAGTATGCTCAAGCGACGCCTCCCGTCGTGGTAGCTGCACCCCCTCCCCCGCCTGCACCCCGCTACTACTCCCGAAGCAACAAAGAGAAAGGTGCCACCCGCAAGGTAAGAGCCAAACACATGAAGTATTTTTGATAAACCAGTGAAACCAGTAAAACGAGATGTTTCTCTTCACCATGAGCTCACCTGTCCTCATGCAGAAAGGAGACTGGACGGGACTCCCTGCTGCCTTTCCATGTGTCTCAATTTTCTTGTTTTCTACATTTTTTTTTATTTTCCTTCCTTTATATCTCCGTTTGGTTTCTTTATTCCTTGTTTCTTTTCTTTTATTTTCCTTTTCTTCTAACGATGTTTTTTCGATATATGATTATATGCTGATGTAAGAAACTTAGGAAATCAATGAAATTCTGAAAAATCATTTGTTGTCAGAACAGAAAATATTGTTACAATTGTAGTGGAATGGCTTTTAGGAATATAATGCATTGTGATGGCATGGAGGTGCACTTCAGTACAAATACATAAAAGGAGGGCTCAGGATCTTCACGTATGTTAAGCGTAGCATCATACACACGACAAGCGCGTCACATTCAAACACCCACACGTAGGATGTATACGTTAAGCGTGGCGTCATATTATGCTGCAGTGGTGCCATTGTTCTGAAATGCATGTATGCTACGTAGAGTGTGATATGTTCACGTATGCTAGCAGCAGAATACGAGGCAATGGTGCCATTTTTTTCAAGTACCTCTATGCTTGGTGTTCAGTCTTGAACTTAAATATGCAGTACACAAATTCAGAAGAGACTCGCAAAGTTGTCATTTATGACAACTCAGAAGAAAATCCATCAGGATTCATGAAAGAGTCCGAACTGCTCTAACTCTGCAACAGATATTTTTACTTAAGAAAATCGTCACATGGAATTCAAGTAGAAGGTGTGTTGAAAAAGAACTAAGCTGAGAAGCCTCTAACCATTTTTTCCTAGTTTTCATTTAATTTCATTTTACTTAGGTGAGGTTATTAGTTTGTAGCCCAAATTTATGTTGTAGCATGTACGAGTATATGCCAAGTTTCACCGTCTCCCTTTACTTAACGTTGTTGAAAATTTCACTCTCCGCCACTGATAAACAGGAATCCTTACTTGCCCAGCCTTTGGAAAGCCTACATACACACTACGGTCACGAGACATTCCGCCAAAGCAGAAGTACTTACTGCAGCACGTAAGACCACCTCGAGAGCTCGGGTAATAATATTAATAATAATTTTTGCCGAACTGGCTTTTGGAATGAATAAATTAACTTACGAAAACTGCAAGAAGAGGAAACTATCAGTTGCTATATTTAAACAAGAAGATCTTAAAGGCACTAATCGTCTACTTTCCCTTGATACGACACGTACCGCATAGAAAACGACGCTTCCAACATTTCTTAGTTGCCACGGAAATGCCTTGACCGACTTGGTACCTATCAATGACAATACAAAGACAGATAAACATATGCAAGCATTTAACATTTCTTCTATTGTTGCCTGTATTCGATGCCGCGGGAACGTGTTTACAGAGCCGTTGCCTAGCAATAAAAGGAAGGATGCGATTTACCAAGTCTTTGTCTAGCAACCATATGAGGGATACACATTCAGACACACAGGTTGATGGCAGGGATTTATGAAGTACGCCGTTCAGATAGGCTCAAGTACCATGATAAACACACCAGTTCAGAAGTCAATGTGTGTGTGTGGGGGGGGGCGGGGGGTTCACCGACACACAGACGGCATGGAGATCGCATAAGCCTATTTTAGAAAAGTTGGCCAAAAAGGACTAAATGGCGAAGCATTTAATTGAATCGAATTCATGTACAGCAACACACCAAACAGCATCTTAAAGAATATGATTCTAGAAACACTTCATGTTTGAAGTTTGGCTTTCATATAAATTAGGGGCTCTATTAAAGGGATGCGAACCAGAATTATATCTTCTGTACAAGCTCTATTCGAGATCCGTATAGAAATTATCAGAGATGAGTCATGCGGATCAGCCGCAGAGATACACAAAATGGCGACTGCACAGGAGAGCAGAAAGTAGAAAACGTTGAGGCAGCTCTACTGACATCGTTTGCTTGCAAGGATCCGGTACAGCTGTGGGAAGCAGGGAAGCAGGGAAGCAGAGTGATGGGATGTTTCCCCTTGGGAACATATCGTGTTGGTGCGTAAGGGAAGATATACTGCTGCTTTCATCATTCTTTCTCATTACTCCTTCACTTCCGATTTTTACTGGAGCCGTGTAGCGATCTCACGAGAGACTGGAGAAATATTTACATCTGTGTTACTGCCGTATATCATAACGAGCGGCTAGGTCAGTGGAAGAGTGTGCTAAATGCACTGTGCGCACACAGTTCGTCTTGATATTCATAACTAATTCCTTAGAGCAGAGTGCCTTTCCGGAGGCCGATTGTCGCCCAGGTGGTAAAGAAATTCCTCACCTATTTTGAAACCCTCATATTCATTACCGTTTTCAGAGAATTCCGTCACTAAAACCAATTCTGAACCAGATTAAATCACCCAAAACCCACACATTATATTTATTTAACACGCACTTTAATTACATCCTACAACCTACGCTTGATTCTCCCAAATGATCTCTTCAAGTTTTGTGGCTGAATTCTTGCTTATACTTCTCCTAACAACAATGAAATCCCACCAATATTATTCTCCCTGATTCTTTGTCCCATACACCTATATTCATGTGGACTTTGTGAACTTAATTGTTGTAGGCAACTTAGAACTACATGGCGGCCCGCGAAAAATACAGAACAGTTTGTGTTATTTTCTGGATATCATAGAGATAAGTAGTAAACCCTGTGCTACTGATTAAATAATGAAATATATTTTATTAAATAATTACCGTAATTAATGTTATTAGCAGTAGAAAATATTGTATTCAGAATGCATTTTTGTAATAAATGAAATTAATTGCAATATTTCTTTCACTATACATTTGGAACTGATGCCCATAGTCCCCTGAAAATGAATTAATACATTTTACAAAAATACAACCAATACAACTGTAATTATATATATATATATATAAACTTTGTCTTATTAAAATTTATGAACATCGAAATTTTGTGCTCTGCCCTCATGCCTGTGTATGCTGGAAATTAGATGCATAGCGCTGTTGGGAATCTCTTGTAATATGTTCCTCTAAGTGAGGCATTATAATAGTAGCTGTTACACGAATACAGGCCACTAATTTCTACATGTATAACCCTTGATTCAGAAGAGTATGACTTTCAGGTTTGTAACTCCATGTAGGTCAATAGAAGCCTACCGGAGTTTCGGAGGAACTTCTACGGTACAACCCAGAAAATCACGTTCTTCATAACCATTACAGTGAGAAACTCAACTCTAACTTCCATTCATAAAGTTTCTCACAAATTATCGATTATTTTATCGCCGAAGACTTCCGCCTATTACTTGATGTACTTAACGCACTTTGTCACTAGCATAAGTAGGCTCTCTGCGAAAGTGAAGTTGGAAACAGTGTTGAGGGAAGCGGTCGCGGCCTTACAGGTACTGTTCCAGTATGTGACTGAAGGAACTGGGGACAACCACAAAGCCCTGGGCCCGTGTCCAGATCGAGACGACCAGTCGGCTCTATGCGAAAGTGAAGTTGGAAACAGTGTTGAGGGAAGCGGTCGCGGCCTTACAGGTACTGTTCCAGTATGTGACTGAAGGAACTGGGGACAACCACAAAGCCCTGGGCCCGTGTCCAGATCGAGACGACCAGTCGGCTCTATGCGAAAGTGAAGTTGGAAACAGTGTTGAGGGAAGCGGTCGCGGCCTTACAGGTACTGTTCCAGTATGTGACTGAAGAAACTGAGGACAACCATAAAGCCCTGAACCCATGTCCACCCCGAGACGAAACAGAAGGATTAATCACTGCACAGTGGCGGCAGAATCATCCATTGAAACAGACCTTCAAATGATGAATACTGTTGTTTGCAGGTGGAGTTGAGCATAGAGCCAGGTCAGAGCCTGGGCCTGATGATCCGCGGTGGCGTGGAGTACAATCTGGGGATCTTCATCACCGGCGTCGACAAAGACTCAGTGGCGGACCGTGCCGGCCTCATGGTGAGTATTGTTTTACTTCTGAAGGAAAAGGTTGTGACAGAGTTTAAAAACATAACTGCAAGGAGGTATGTCTGCTACAAAGAGATTATCTGACAGACGATCCAAGAGATATGTATGATTTTGCGGTCCGCCTAGCAGAGTATCAATTTATAAATTATAAAATATAAATTTTAGTTTCGAAATGTTAAGCGAAGAAAATGTCATGCAACCGGTAATTCAATCTCTGTAAAATGAAGAGTATCATGTCAGTATAAGCATTCTTGAGCATGGGATTTGGTAACGAACTTTTTATTGTTACATACGTAAATCTTCTCATTAAATAATGTTACATGACTTTCTGAACATACAACTGAAATGTGACGTGTTTTAATTGTATAAACTTGCGTAACAGGTGTGTAAGAAGTTGTACTACAGTTTTTTTTTTCAAAGACGTCCATTGCGGTTCTACTATATTTACCTCATTTGCCTTGATTCTTATTGCGTGCATGTATCCCTTCGTTCAGAGCTAATCACACTTCAGACACTAAAGTGCAGACACCTAAATCATTTGTTACTGTGTTCAGTGAAACTTCACACTGCTGGCCAATACACTGACACAGACATTCTTGTCTGCAGTTACATACTTACGTTTTCTATCACTTTTACTGCAAAAAAATATATTAAACCTCTTAACGCGTTCAGCTTCTCCACCACTTACATGTGCCCAGCGTGGAATTGTCACATGCGTGTGAAAGAATAAATTGTTTATTGAAAGAATTACGTTAATATTTCACTATACATTGAAGCATATTGTGACATGTCAAACCGGTTGCCAAGTTACGCAACAGTAAGGAAAGCTGTGTGTCTCTGTGCCGTGTGGAGCCGAGCCGAACCGCGCTGGTTGGTACGCAGCAGCAAACAACTCTCGGCAGTGTTGCCAAGCAACACCTCTGGAAACACGGTGTCACTCAACAGTGAAACAAGCTGCATTTTCCGCCTGTCCGAGACGAGGTTATAAAACTCCAGCTTCAACAAGAGACGAGTCGATCGTCAGTCGCAATGTGACTTTGACTTTGACTTTGACTTGAGACGAGTCCGGGCGTGTTTGACCTTCGAAGAGATCAGTAGGTAGTAGTCAGTCTTCAATTGGGCTTCGACTATAGCAGAAGCAGCAATTGAGATACCGAAGCTGTGAATAAGTGTACGAGTGTGTGTACAAATAAGCGTCCAATAAAATAATTCGTTCCGATTTGAAGACCCACGCAATTTATTCGTGTCGAGTAACACAGCCGACACGTTACAATATTAAAAAAAAGAATAAGTTCATAATGAAATTTACATCGTCTGGCCTATGCAATGTAAGCAACCAGTTCAGTTTTTGTTATGAGGCGTCTGTTCAATATTGTAACGTGTAGTACCGTGGATGTGCAACGATCTCGAGAAAGAACATGAATTGCTTAGTAAGGGCTCGGTAAACACTTTCCCGCGGAAACGATATCTAGTCTATTGCTAGGCAGCCGCCAGCGACAACAGTAGAAAGATTGTTGGAGGCATTGTTTGCTGTTGCGGGCACCCAGAATCTATATAGCTAGGACCCCGAGCCAGCAGTGCAGTTCAGCTAGGTGAAGTAAAGTGAAGTAGTCTGTTGGTGAGTGAGTTGACAGGTTGCAGTTCAGTTGAGCTCTTCAAGGGAGGTTAAGAAAAGATGGTGGTGTAGTTGAGTTGTCAGTTGACAAGAGTTCTGCAGGGGCAGCTGTGACAACAGGACATGAACGCGAGAAGCTGAAGTATCTCCACTGTTAGAAGTCATTGCTAGGGAGCGGCTGATGAAAACAGTAGGCTGGAAAAGAGTTTAGCGGGTGCTGTGCTGATTTTAAATTGTGGAGCTCAGCCATAGCAGTGTAATTGTAATTCCGAGTGGTCAGTAAATCAAATATCCAATCCATACTCCGTCTATAGTCACACCCCTAAATCGTGAAAATATTAAACATCAAATATGTAGTGAATGTATAGCTTCATTTCATGCATCCTGTTGTGTTAAATGTATAGTAGGGTTCATATTATACCGTTAGATACCAAATAAATTCGCCCAATCAATATCGTCATAGGCTCGCAGTAAGAAGTTTCTGCAAAATCCGTTTGACTAGGAAAACTTTGTTGATTTTATGAACTTCACACTAAAGTTCCACATTGACGAAAGAGATTACCATGGGAAATAAAATTAAAATGGAACCTGGGTAAATGTGTTGTGATCACGTGGACTAATCTTCTTAGGAAAAGACCTAGGAATATCCCATAACGCTAGCCAGTTAGTTAAATTCCTTCTTTCCTTCCTCCCAGAGAAGTCAATGGAGGGCTTAGAGTCGAATTATGACGTCAGCTTCTGGGCGTTTATGCTGAAGATTCTAAAGCAGCGACGTTTACATCAGTGCTCGCAATGATCACCCAACCCTCTGGTACAAGCTCTCTTTGCTCCCATTGTTTCTTTGTTACGGATGTTCACCTTTATGTTACGACACTGGGTAGGTGGTTACGCAGACTGTGAGAGCCCTCAACTCTCGCTAATAAACGGAAAGGTGAGGTTGTATAACAAGTTCCCGTCAACCAACGGGCTCCGTCTCTCGCTCCATAAGTAATCTCCTCGGCAGAGCTATACTCGTAACAACATTAAAATTGAATTTGTAAAAAAAATTATTTCGCCTTAAATGAAAGCCATAAGATCCCGCGAGCAGAGGAACAGCCAAAGAAACACTCAGCCACTACGACACTATCACGAGGACTGAAAAGTTTACAAAGCAGTCGTTTAACAAAAGTGGGAAAAGGTTTAACCTGTAAGCTGAATTTTACTGACTTCAATGTAGTTATGTACGCGTACTAGCCCTTTCGCGCGGTGATTTAAATTCCGCGGCCGTCTCTCCGGCGGTAATATATTCAGCCGGCCATTTAAATTTTGCTCGAAAATGATTTATTCATCATTGTTCTTAAATTATATGAGATAGGAACATGAAACTTTCACTAAAATGATCTTAAA